GAAGAAGTCTTTGCAGTTCTCCAGGAACCACGAATCTGCTTTCCAGTAGCAAGGGTAAAAGGACTGCTAATGCCAGCTTGAGGGGTGAGGGGATTTGAGATATAGAAGATTATTATGCATATCACCTTTCCAGGTCTCAGAGATCGAACTATTTCTCTGTCAGATCCATACCTAAATATAGAGACCTGTAAATGCTGTGCATGCTGTCTTGGCGCAGCTTTGCCAACCAAGAATTAAGGTCGCATGTGATGTTCAGCCATCTGCCTTTTGACTGGAGGAGACAAGCTCTCCTTAATCCAATGGGTGAGTGTGGGTGACAGATTGGACTTCCCCATCAGGTACACAGGCCTGTGATAGACAGCCAGCCTTGGTCCATCTGACAGCCTCCTCACCAACTTGTTAAGCTGGCAGGGATCTCAGAATTCATACAGCCAGCCACAACTCCAGCTCCACACCCCAAAAGTGACCCCAATTCAAAGAAGAGACTGGATGTAAACCCCAGGCGTGTCTGCCTCCCTTCAGTGAATGCCTCAGTTATGAATGACAGCCCAGGAGGGACCAGGACCTCTCCGATTGCCCCAAGCCAACAGACACCCACCATCTCACGAATGTGAGGCAACCTGGCATTTTGGTGTCACAGACCATCGTCCATGACGCTGATAAAAATTTTCACTAAGAAGATAAAATAGTGCATCTGAGTCATCTTAGAAATGAGGTTGTCACCTGGAGGACAAGGTCGTGATTCTTTTTGTGGCACTTGAAATTTATCCTCGGAGCAGAGTCCTAAACCACGCTGCACTTGCTCTACTGACTCACATGCTATGGGTGGGTGGGTGGATGGGTGGGTGAGTGAGTGAGTGAGTGAGTGAGTGAGGGAGGGAGGGAGTGAAGAAAAAGTTAGAATGTAGAGATAGAGATGGCTACGTGAGAAAGTTGGAGTCGAGTCAAAGAGACATGGTGTCGGAGCAGAACCAAAGTGTGTCGTTCCAGAGAACAAGACCCACGCAGGACCTGGAGGGGGTGAGTTTCCACGTGCTTCCCGTGGCCACGAGGGTGCCATGTGGATGGGCCGGGCAGAGTGCCCCAGGAGTCTGGGTCTCTTTCAGGCAGTGCCCAAAAGGATTCTGCTGGGGCTGCAGCTCATACAGTCTGGGAGGCCCTCTTCTGAAATTCTAAAAAACGAGCATGAAAGTGGCTATTTATTTAGAATGAGAAGGAAATTCATAATGAACTTTAAAAGTTGACCAAAACCCACAAAAATTCCAAAATGTGTATACGTTATATATACACACATGAGTCTATGTGTAGTTTAGACATTGCAACGATGTGGTCGTACAGTGTGAAGAAGGATGAAACAGAGGTCCAAGGTGAAAGACACAGTGGTTTAAGGTGAATCAACACTGCTGACTTTTGCAAATCTGACCAAAGGAAAACAATCACGTGACCATGCGAACGCACGACATGGGCCTGAGAGTGACCGTTCACCTCCCCTGAGAATAAAAATGCACTCGAGTTCATGTCAAACCTTTACTGTTTATTTTCTCATCAGCTTTTAAAAGTAAACTAACATTTCTAACAATTTTTCTAAAAAAAAAAACCAAACAGAAAAACAAACAAAAAAATCCAAACCAAACTTCTTCCAAGTGAATATAACACTTCATGGGCTTCAGAATTTACTCACACACACTGTATTTCACTGTATCTCGGCAACAGCCACATCTAGGCAAATGGAGACTCTTCTGTAGCCCACTTCCCAGTTCCCGGATCCTGGTCCCCCTCCTGCTCCAGCAGCCTGGCATGGCTTGGCCAGTGCGCATGTGCCCTGGCGGAGGCTGACGGAGCTAATCGACGCATGAGTCAAAAGACAGAGCCCTTTTGGTTTGAGACAAAGGGGACACCGGTCCCCAGCAAAGTGTTTGCCTTTCTCCGGTTTTTGCCAACAAGACGGGCTCCTCGCAGTCAGGCGGCACTGCTGGGTCCGGAGGAGCTAGGCCATGTACGCCATGGCTCCACTCGTCTTCCGTGTGGACGCAGAGGGCTGTATGAAGAGGACCCAGGCACTGTCGGTGAGGAAGACAGTGGAAAGCGCTGGTCGATGGACAAGAGCTACTCCCACAATGGAATCTCACGGAAACGAAGAGTCAACTGCGTCGCAGAGGTGGACCCAGCTGAGATTTCATTCACCGTGTGTGGGCTCCACGCAGATGATCGTTCACGCGGTTTGGCTTT